TAAGATAACATTAAAATACTGGATGAGAGTCGTAGTACGTTTTATATCGAAGTAGAGTAACATAACTCAAGATATATTGATAAGGAGAGGCATAAACTAGTTTAGTGATATTTATATTTTCTGGGAAATATAAGATTTAAAATGTTTATTAACTATAATATTTTTAATTTGATTATATACATAGAATAAAATTCTAAATATTAAAGTATTTGTAACATATAAAGCTCAAATAAATATAAATAAAATTACAATTAAAAATTTGGAATTTAATCGAATTTAAAAACACATTAGCAGATTTTTATCTAGTATAAAAAAGAACTAATATTAGGAATTCTCCTGATGAAGGCAAAAGCGAATTTGCCGAAATACGTGTAGAGATACATAAAAAAAAATTTTGAAATAAAAGTTAGTATATTTTAAAAAAACAAAAACAACCGCATTTAAACAATTTCGAAATAACGACTCAAAAATTAAAACAAAAATAATAATACAGTTTAAATATTAGCAATAAATAAAATAATTATAATAATATATTAGAAATTTAAACAGTTGCAAACTATAACAATAAAATGTTATTATCTATTAATTCATTATAAATTAATAATAAAATTTTGTTGTTGTAATTTACTACTGTTCAAAATACCTTTTTATCGAAAACAATAGTTTATATTAAGAATTTAGTTCCTTTCGTCGAAACGGACTTTAAATTAATACAAGAATTATAATAGTTTACAATAAAATATAAGAATAAATAATAATAAAATAGTAAATAATAATAATATAAATATATTAACACCTTAAGTGGATACAGACTAGTCTATTAAAATGCATTAAATAACCGAATATTTTATTACACATATCCTAGCAAGATTAAAACATTCCACTATGGAAGCCCACTATGGTATTAAAAAGTTTGGAGGATATACCAGATATAGTAATTCAAAAAATTATCTCTTACATGAACCACAAGAATTAGTTTTAAAACTGAGATTTTCATGACAGTGTATGACAGGCCATGAATTATTGTTACTAAAATAACAATATATAGTATATATTTCTCAGAAAGATATGCGGCACATGAAACTATACTTTTGTAAAATCACATGAATAATTCATTTTTGTAGTTCAATGGAGACCACCTAATTGGATCCAGAAACTATAGCGAAAAAGTATTTTACACACTAACTCGTCTAAATTTCATCAATGACAAAAAAAAAAGACTATACCAGTTTATCTGTAAAATCTATTGTACTATTGTACCTGGAGAAAGTACCTGCAGAAAGAAAGTCAACCAACACATATTAATATTACCGGCAAACCAAATAATATTATTAGATTATTTTAAAGATCACAGAACTTATTTCTATGTGGTAACAAAATAACGCTTATGTGTGACTGGAACAGAAAATAAAGAACTGTCATCACTCAAACCCACCAAAGCAATAGTGTTGATATGATAAAATAGATTATACAATACTATTGTACATATTATGCAAATTTATGAATATACCCTATATTCTTGAAAGCACATAGGTTAATTGTAGGCAACATCAATCATATATGCTTTTTTTATCGATATTTAAATAGCAATTTAAATGTTTTAATTCTCCACCGTAAAAGCAAAGGTAGTAGGAGATTAGCTTTCTACTAGATTTCTATACTGTTGAAATGAGCGGGCTAAACCAACTTACTGATGTCACTTTCAATTTGGGTCCCGTACTTAAGAACATTTAAACGGTTTGAACTGACTTAGTGTTTTGTGGTATATATATACTTAAACTATCTATGGTTCTATACTCAGAAAGAGTATTACATATTGTTTAGCCAGCTAATAGCATCTAATAATACATAAATGATGTGTCACTTACCGGTCGGTTTGGCTTTCGTATAACAAAATCAGATCCTGCGAACTCATTAACATGGATAGAGTGATAGAGTCTCTGATCACTGGTGTATGAGAGCCCATACAGAGAAGTTGTGCTATGCATCTAATTAGAGCTATTGTGCAAACCTAAGAGACCAAGAAACAATCAAGAATATCCTTAGTAATTATCTAGGTTTCGCTAAGAAAAGTCATAGAATTTTAGGAAAATTTAATCGGAAGATCGAGGACATGTTTGAAGCTTAAATTTTTGATTAGATCAGAACTTCTATCAGAACTTTTATGAAATCAAATATGCTAAACGACCTATGCTCATCATAACATCATGTTAAGTATATAACTTATTGATTTTA